TCTCACTTTCTCACTCCCATGTGCGCATGTGTGCTGTTTCTGTCCTTGCAACCTCACCTGTACACCACATCACTCTTTTGTAACACCTTCAAATAAATAAATAAATAATCCTTTTGAAACAACAATAATGTAATAGAGAAACAAGGCAACTTTTCCAGGGAAGATCAAGATCTATAAAAATCAAAAGTGCCTCTCCCGACCAGAGATTGCTCAGTTGCAAGTAGGGCCACGTGACATGAGAACTTCCCTCTGAGAACTTTCACTTTGTCCCAGAACACCAGCATGGGGTCAGTGGGTGCTTGCATCGGCAGCTGAATAAAGATTTGTGGGCAAGAGAACTAATTCATCAATGATGCCTCTCTTGGCCAAGTGAACATGATCCTTTGGGTAGCTGAAGTGGTGCAACGCTTTTCCTTTGGGGTACAACCAGCAATTGTATACCGAGTCAGGCATTTGGATATTCCAGGCTGCCTTCCCTGATGGACAACAGGAGCAGATGGGTGAGCACCTAAGTGTTAGTAGCGACTCTCTCTAGTGAATAACTATCCAGTGGAGCAGTCTGGATCCTGAGAATGACACTATGGAACTATTTCTTAGCTTGAATTGATTGGCCTTTTCTACGAAAACCTTTACAAGTATTCTAGCCATCAATGGTACAAAGTCAGGTTTCAAAATTGGTTTGACTGGATTCCAAAGTTGAGGCATCTGCCCTGTGACCATCAGTCTCTGGGTCTTATCAAAACCTTGGGTTCTTGGGTCCCAAAATCGCTCAGAAAGAAATAGTAAGCATGGGCTGTTGCTGACATTATTTAATGACAGTCTGAATATAGTTCTGCGATAAACATAAGCAAGGTAAGTTTAACCATTTCCAGGTGTTTCTGGGAAAGAAAGACACAATACTGTGATCTCAGAAAGAAGAAGACAGGAAAGCTTATACCAACAAAGCCACTGCCAGGCTGGAGAACTCATCTCATGACAAATGGATTCACACATACCCCCATGCAAGCCACACACGCACACTTTGAAGCAGGCTCCAGGAGACTAAGGGAATCTGTTACACAGCAGATATGGAAAAGCCGGAATTAAATCCAGGGCTGTCTATGTCAGTTCTCTTTCCTCTACACTAAACTGCCAGATGATGTACACAGAAAAATCGTAAGTACTGCACCTGGAAATACCTGTGGTAGCTCGTAGTGGGACCCGTAATCCTACCACTGTCCTCCATTTTGTGCCCTCATCCTGGGATGACAAGTAGCATGGACTGCGTCAGCTAAAGTTCCATCTTTGGTGGCAGGGAAGATACATGAAAATGTGCATCCTTTTTCCCTGGTCCTCTGTCAAATCTCACTCTGCAATAGTCACCAGTTGACAAGCTGTGTGTATTATCAGCACAGCCCAATCAAACTGAAATGCAGAAAACTTTAGGTTTTAATACTTCCATTCCTTATTTGAATAGCAAGTAATCAAAGTATGATGCACACACGGCCTCTCTAAAATCTCATTTTGTGGTGAAATATTGCCCCTCTGTGTATTTGTAACCATCTACCTTTATTTCAATAGCCTGGTCTCAAGAACAGGGTTGCAGTTTTGTGGGAAATTCTAAAGAGCCTGCTCATTTCCTGAAAACCACTTTTTTCATAGTAGATGACCTCCATTGTCAGGCATTCTTTTCCAGGAAATAAAATATTTGGCCCAGGAGCCATCCATATCTTGCTAAAGACAAAAGAAATCCTTCTATTCTGCAATACTGAATAATAATATGGGAAACGTGCCAGCAATAGGTGTCAAATAACCAAGCAGGACATAAAATCACATACATGGTAGAGTCCCAATCACATATTATTCTAGAAAGTCACTTCAAAAGGAAATAACTAAGCACGTTCATAGTAGTTATTTATTTTTGCTTTATGGGATTATACATGATTACTCTGTCTTTTCTCATTTCGGTAATAAGCACATATAGCTTTTCAAAAGTTCAATGAAACTGCTTAGAAAAAGAAAGTAATATTTTTCCCACAAGGAGGTCTGACTATTGCTCACTGTTTCCTTCCTATCAATATCGCTATATGAAGATATCACTTGATCTAATACCAGTTGCAGGCTGTCCAATAAAGCTATACAGTAATCTTGTTGATCAATGCCGGTAGAAGAGCCACATTACAATCTAATGAGTCTTTTATTCAGCAGGATAGGGAAAAACCATGTATTATGGCCAAGAGAGAGCATATCAAAAATGCAGATTGGTAAATCTATCAATCAAAGTAATTACAATTATAAATGAAATGAGGAAAACACATATAATCACTAATATACATATCAAAAATCGCATAGTAAAATTTAACATGTAATTCACATGTACAAAATGTCTCCTGGAAAATAATATAGATACAGGGACTTAACAAAGATTCTTCAATAAAAGTATAACATGTAAGTGTAATTTAAAAGCGTTTCCATTAATATAAAACAACACAACGATCTCTACTCACCCTAAATATGGTACTGACATACCAAGCCAATGTAATATGATAGGAAAAACAAACACATACGTATAGGTTAGTGAAGAAGACAGACTCTTCATTTTTACAGGTTATATGTTGTGACCATAAAAACACAAGCAGAGCAAAAGAAAACCATCATAACAGAGGTAAGCAGCATTACTCCAGCTTGACTAATGACCTGTTTATCCACTTCTATATCTATTTATCTTAGCCGAATTTTCAATATTTGCATAACAGAATACTTGTTATTTCACGATCATATCTGAAGAACAAGAAATGAAGTCATGCTATTGTCAGCACATAGACTCTTTTTAATATGTGTGTGTTTTCTTGGTATCACAGTCCAGGCAAGTCTAACAGAAGAAAAATTATTTAACACGTTTGTACAATTATCAGTAATTACAGAATTTTGGTTTGAGACAAATCTATGCTCTTTAGAAATCTCGAGAATATTTTAAACAGGATTAGAGAAAATAATGTGATGACAACGAAGATGAAAATAGGAAGAGAGGACACAGCTAATTTTTGTTGCTCAATTAATACATGTCAAGTACCACGATGAGTATTTTACTCATTTTATTCCATTAGTCTTTACATTGAATATCTAAGGCTTGTAATAGTATGTCAATTTTACAAGAGAACAAAATGAGGTAGAGAGAGGTTAAGTAACTTTCTTGGGTCACATAATAAGGAAGGAAGAAAGCCAAAATTTGAACCCAAGTCTACCTACTCAGATTCCTTAATACCAGTCACTCACTTGTGGGAAGTACTTATATATTAATGGCTCTGATTCTAGAGGTCTTCAACATCATGAAGATAAAGAAATTCTGAAAAGAATCACCTCCACACACAAATCCCAAATCCCCAACCAAGTCAGTGGCCTGAAACTTCTCAACTATTTCTTCAGAATGTTTCTTGTTTTTAGAACGTTTCCTGTTTTCCATGTTAAAATTAGGAAAGAAAAGATTTTTCAGTAAGAGAATTTGAACACATAAAGCATTCAAGAGCATAGCTTTAGTGGAAAGATTAACTCTGAGGCAAAACTAGAACTTGTCAGTTTCCATTGAGAAAATATTTGACTTCTAGTAGAAACCAACTTCATAATTTACCACCAAGCAGTTCTACCCAAATCTGTTCTTTCACTCATTTGCTTTCCATGATTCTTAGATCATGATGCATAGGAAACAAGGCTTACTTTCAGTTTTAGGGAATGAAATGGTCTGCCTCCAAAATATATGTGTTTCAAATTAACATGAAAATTAAAATGTACAGTGCTTCCTAAATTGCCTGTCCAAGAGCTACATACATTTATAACATTTATGCTCCTTGCTTTTGAACAGTGTCAGACAAATGTCATCACAAAACAGGACTGGGAAAGTACCATGACGTTCGGACAAACCACTGCCTATATATTGAATCCGAGAGCATTTCAGTGAATGGCCCACATTGACAAATTTCAAGACCTGAAAGAGAACTCTACGAATTGCTCCCCACATGGCAGAGAACAATGGAGGACAGGGGAAGACAGGGGACAGGGAGAAGGGTGAAGAAAAAACATACAACTCAGAGCATGGCTTACTTACATTTCATTACAATGAGAGGACAAACTTGCTGAGAGTACATCCTCCAGCAAACATGCAAGATGACAGAATTACCCTGTTACACACTAGACATGCCATTTTTCCGTACAAGTTATTATCCTCTCTGTCAGGCACTTTCTGCTCCTCACAGATTGGAACTTTGAGGGTGAACAAGAAGCCTAGCTACGAGGGAGCTCATGGGATTAATGGCCAACACAAACATATGACAGTTTAATAAAGCCACATATCAACCACAAACTACAAAAACAAAATTTTAAAAAGCAAGTAATCTTCTCTGGGGAATAAAGAAAAGCTTCCCTAGGAGGCTCCAACTGAATTCAAAACTGGAGCGTAACCGGGAGTTGGGGCAGAAAATAAAGTGGAAGAACTACAAAGCACTGCAGGCTTCATTACCAGTCCAGAGTTCTCTAAGTGTAGTCTCTGGGCTATCAGGAACAGTACTGCATAGGCATTTGTTGGAAAACAGAATGTCTCATGCCCCATCCAGATCTAGTGGATCAAGTCAGAACTTCCGGCGATGGCCTTCAACAACCCATGTTCTACCAAGTCCTGGGGGGTGAGCATGTGCTGTTGGAGCTGGAGAATCCCTGGCCTACTTCAAGGTGAACTACAATAGGCAGAATACCAGGAAGAGGAACAGGGCTAAAGGACAAGGTGAATGAGGCAGAGATATTGGTGGAAGGGTGGGAGGGAGACAAATCTGAAAGCACTTTGTCTATTAGAAGCATTTCAAAGTTTGCCTAGAGAATAAAGGAGATCCAGCACAACATAAGTACTTCCTCAAATACCTTCAAGAAACAATTTGAAATATGCAATCACTAAGATGCTTCTTTATATCATTCTACACACACACACACACACACACAAGGATCTATGAAGAAGCGATTCAACGCAGCCCTACCTTTCTTTCGGGAGTCTTTCTTGGCGCTGGTTTTCACAGCTACTTGAAGTTCTGTCTCAGTTGACATCCTACTTAATCCTTAGTCCACTTCACACAGATCGCAGGCCTCGGCCAGGCTCATTGAGGACTCCTCTCCAAGAGAAAGACTCCTCCCTTCAGAAACAACACCCGGAGCCGCACATTTCATTCACTCTTCTTGAGTGCTGCAAATCAAGACAAGAGAAATTTCAGAATGGCCACTCCTAGGAAGTTAAACAGAAATTGTTAAAGGACATGAACTGCCAGCCACACTGAATCAAGACAATGTTGCTCTTTCACTACAAATATCCGACAGGATTTTTACGTAGCCCTTGGCAGGGTTTGCCTAGTGAAAGGAAGGGCAGGATGACTGGCAGTTTCTCAACTAGGTGATTCACATTGGATCTGTAAAACCCTGAATTTCCAAGCGGCACAAACCCATTCCCTTTGTTTTCCATGTTTCTTCTTTTTATGCACCAGATGCCACCCAGAAAATGCAGCAAAGACATATTTCCTGAGCAGTCCCGTGGAGACATTTCCAACCACAGGGCACCCATCCATCAGCCAAGCCAAGCTCTATCAGAGCCTTAGTAGTCACGGCAGATCACAGGGAAGTGACCTGTGGTCTGTTCCTCTCTGGCAGGCATTGCAGGAAACACGAAGTTGACATACAATTGGGCTCTATGGGCAAGGTGAAAAACGGGTCTGAGAAACTTCGCAGCAAGCCAATTTTTATATCAGCTTTGCCCCCAGCTATAAAAGCAGACAAGTATTTAATATGAGGAGAGAAGAAAGAGACAAATTCACATTTCATCCATTCATGCTTTAATAAGTATGCATTGCACATTACTAGGCACCATTATGTCCAGACGCTGCTAGGAATAGAACAATGATACTACAATCACTTCAATTACCGCTGGTATTTACTACGCACTTAATATATGCCATGCCCTCATCCACTGCTTCACATGCATAATTTCATTCCATCTCATTTAAATTGGATAAATGCATTTCCTTTGTCAAATCAACAGTCATTCCCAGTGACTATGTAAGAATTATACCTGAGAATTCTATTGAAAATACACTTCACCAGTTATCCACTTTAAGATTTATTTTTGTTGGAAAGTCAGATATACATAAAGGAGGACACACAGAGAGCAAGATCTTCCATCCATTGATTCATTACCCAAGCGGCCTCAAATGGGTGGAGCTGAGCCAATCTGAAGCCAGGAGCCAGGAGCTTCTTCCGGGTCTCCCATGTGGGTGCAGGGTCCCAAGACTTTGGGCCGTCCTCAACTGCTTTCCTAGGCACAAGCAGGGAGCTGGATGGGAAATATGGTCTCAGGGACATGTATCGTCACCTATATGGAATCCTAGCAGGTGCAAGGTGAGGAATTTAGCCAGTAGGCTACCATGCTAGGTCCCCGAGTATCCACTTTTAAATAATATTAAGAAAAACCTTCTGAAAATGGATTTTTAAATTGTGCAGACAATTCCTAGCTCCTCCTTCAGATCCAGAGCTGATTAGTCTGAAAGGATTGATGTCAAGTGTCGGTTTTAGATAAAATTATTAGTACTATCATTATCATCATCATCATTATTATACGATCCAAGTCTCTTAATCAAGTCAATAAAAGTTAACTTGATCAGTCACATAAAATTACAGCAAAGCTTAAATACGGAGATCTTATTCACACATACCTGATCTGGCAGTGGTGGTGGTAGAGGTGTTTTAACAAGTTAACCATTAAAAAGAATCCTGGGAACAGATATTTGGCCTAGAAATCAACTGAGACACTGTAACACAAATAAATACTGACACCCCATGTCAGAGTAGCTGGGTCTCCTTGATACCAGTTTGCTGATACTATAGACTCAAGGCAGCTGTTATGATGGGTCAGATGGTTGGATTCCTACCACACAAATGGGAGACATGAACTGAGTTTGTGGTTTACATCTTAGGCCCAACCAGTCCTGGCTCATGCCCAGCCACAATGGATATTTGAGAAGTGAGACACAACAAAGGTTCTCCCCCTGCCTGTCTCTCAAATAAAACTTAAATGAGAGAAAGAGAGAAAGAGAGAGAGAGAGACTGTAGTGAATGTAAGTACTTGAGCTAAAGGATCCAGGACTACAATAAATGAAAACAGAAGCTATCCTTGTAGAATAAGGTCTATAATACCATATGTATAAAATGAGCACCTCTCCTGCTGTGTACCTGTACCTTACCACCAGCATTCATTTACACCCCCTTTTCCCCCAAAAGCAAGACCTCATGGGAAATGAAAGTTGCAAAACATATTCACATATGGACATAATTAATCTTCTTAGCGATCTCTATTATTTTATCACAATAAATACTAAAAACTTTTTACTTGCCAAATACAAATACTGGCTCATTCATGTTAACAGAGAGTTACTGTGCATCCATGCAGGCCAAGAGGACATCATCAAAACCTGATTCCTGTCCTCAAAGAACAGCTCCCTCCAGCAATATCAATCACATAAGGAATTTCAATCCACATCCATGACCAGTACTAAAACCATCAAAAGCAAGGAGAGAGACTTCTCTTCTCTTGGACAAGTCAATAGGACTCCATAGAGGGAAAATCTACTCTGTGCATCCTTAAAAATGATGCTTCTCTCAGACAGCTGATTAAGGAAAGGACAAACAGGTTGCCAGTAATTATATGGAGAATGGATGGATAGATGGATGGATGGGTGGATGGATGGATGGGTGGTTTCAGGTAGAGCAAGGGCATGGACAAGGGGCGAGGTGGCTTGAAACCAACAAATCAAATGAAGCACACTTCTAGGGAGGCAACATGCTTCCCCCCGTCTTCCATCTTTGCCTTGGCTTACTTTTCCATGGAATCTCTCTTCTAAAGTCTGTCTTGATATCCCATTTAAGCTATGACCTGGTTTTTTTCTCTACTTCATATTTTCAGCCCCTGATCAGCCATTTGATGTTGGGGGAGTTAGTCAATTTCTCTTTACATCAGTTTCAAAAGCACCAATTTCACAAAACTGCCATGAAAAATAAGTGGGATCGCACGTGTAATTCGAGGCAGACTGGCAGACACATCTGTAGGTGGCACACAGATTTAGGCACAAAACTTGTTGTGTCACTTGATTAGGGCCCCGTGGCTGGTTTGCAATCATACATCTTATAATCATCATCTCTTTACACAGGGGAACACTAAGACGGGAAAAAGTAAGAACAAGCTCAGTTCTATCCACACACTCCTCTTACATACAATACACACCTAAATGTAGAGATGAACTAACCCAAATAGATTTTACACAAATTCAAGTTTTCTTGAAAAGAGCTGTTAAAACTAGATTGACACCCCACCACTCTCTCCCCTTCAATGTTACTAACTACAATATAGTCCTTTCCTTATTCCATGGGTGACCCACACCCTGTGTTTGATAAAATTTGATTGTGTTCAAATGCAATAAACATGACTTGTGAATTTCTAAAGTACATCTCCATATCAATATGAAAGGAAACCAGCATCATTCAGAATAAAAGCTTAACTCAGAAAGCTGCAGTACAGTATCGCCAGCACCCCCTTTAATTTTCCAAAAGTCAGAGGTTGAGCAAGTGCTGTGAAGGAACTCCAAATTATTTAGGAAATTCATTTCTTTGTAATTAAGGAGATTAAAGTCCTCCAGGGCCAGAAACCATGTGACAACTCAAATCATTTCCTCAGTAAAAGCTGTGAAACCCTATCAGTTAAATTCAGGCTTGCCCAGAATTTTGAAATGCTTCAATAATGTTTCTTTGCTCCACACAATCTGCAGTAATTTAATATTCCTGAAGTGTGTCAGGTTTTTTATAATGAGCTCTTCACATCTAACTGTGAATTAGGTAACATCCCATTACAGGCATTCTGTCTAGTGAACTGCTTCTAAAATGTAAAATTCCATGTTCAGGGATGGAGTTAGGGACAGAAACACCAAACCACAAAGCAGAAAATACAGATAGGGCTTTGGAAACAACAAAGCACACAGGTTTTAGCAGCTACACCAGAATAAACGTACACTAAAACACAAATTTATATTCTCTTTCTCCATTCACTCCTCTTCATACAACCCCAGGATAAAATAGCTAACGTTAATGGAGGATTCATTATTAGCCAAGTGCTGTGCCATGACATTTTCAAATACCATCTGATTCAGTCCTTTCCACCATTTCAGATTGGATAATATCATCACCTTCATCTACTGAACGAAGACACTGAGACACAAGTCAATCGATGAGTTTAGACGAGGTCACATGGCCAGCAAATAGCACAATACATGTAGAAATTCCACTCCCACTCATTCAAATCCTCCCAGATACTCATTAGGGATGACAAGATGAACAAAATAGTACTTCAATGCCAAGGAATATTACTCAGCTGAAAAGGGAAGTGTTCCTGATAATATGCTACAACGTGGATAAATCTTGAAAACACCAGATCAGGTGAATTAAGTTAGACAAAAATGATGCACATTACATGAAATATCCAACAGGTAAATTCATGGAGACAGAAGATGGATTGATGATTGCTAGAAAATCAGGGAACAGGGGTGAGAAAGAATGATGACTTAATGGGCAAAGACTCTCACCTATTACAGTTTGGAACAAGGTAGAGGTAATAGTTCTGTAGCATCATTAATATGGTCAGTTCTATTTTGAATTGAGAGAGATGTGTTAGAGAAATATCACTTGAAACTAAGCAAACCAGAAGAAATCCTCTTCCCAGCTTACTAGTTGGTTAGTAGGACAGAGTTGCCTTGTATGATAGATATCCTAATACTGGAAAACCTGGTGTAAAAAGCACAAGATAGTCCTAAAAATCGGATTTTGTCCCAGGATGAAAAGTTAAGGTGTGTATGGAAGCAATTATGGGCATTAAAAACAACACACTAGTATGTACATGGGACATCAGCTGGGACCTCACTCACCCAACCACATGGCATTTAACACAGGCCTTTTGCCAGCAAAATACAAACGTGCAACAGCACAAACAGTTCCAGATTTCTCAACAGGAGCACCATTATCAAATGTATGAGATTTCAAAGATAAGTTATATTTGGGTACTTTAAAAGCCCAAGTCAATCTAGCCAAACTATGCATGGTACCTGTTGTCTAGGAAAGGAAGAGACAAACACTGACTTGTCTTTACTAAAAGAA